ACGCCTCACAAACGTATTAAGATCAACAGCTTTAGTGCGTTTTGATTCAATGCTGAGTACAGTCAAACTGACAGTCTCTTCTCTGTCATTGTAGACCGCAAATACCTCATTCCTTCAGTGCTTGGGTCTGAATGCTTCTCGTTTTGCGCCGTCCAGTTCAAAATGAAATCGCCGCCAAATCGTATGTCCACGCTCGCGCCAGGACCGGGGGAGGGGTTACGTGACGTGCATCTTGTGCTGCATTCACTTGCACTCGGACATTAGAGACTTTCTCTCATAAATGTCCGATGAGCCACAACTTTTCTTTCAAAACAAAGCTGCCAACTGGGGTGGCAGCTGGGGTGGCAAGGCCTATTTTTAGGGTGTCAGTTGCCACCCCGGTAGGTGAAACTAGGCTACTAGCTACAGTACAGATGGAACTAGATGAGCTGTTAACTCTCGCTCTGACTTAGACAGGTTGAAAGAGACACACACATTTTTCCCACCCGCAGTCCGCGAAGACCCGCCCTACTGTGCCTCTGATTCGCAGATTGTTTGGGGGGAAAAAACGCTGACTGGATGCTGAATGTGATTGGACCAAAGCGTTGACACACACAGGTGGAACACAGTGGAACAGTCAGACATGCAGAGCGCTGTTTGCAGTGGACATAGCGGAGAATTTTGACTCGTTGCGAATGCGTTGTGGCGATGTCTCACATATAATACAGAGAGATCATACATATGAAAAGTATAATTTGCTCAGAGTCCGGAGACAGTGGTGGTTCGGTCCGGATCCGGACCGGAGTCCGTCGTTTGAGGATGCCTGCTGTAGGCTGTAACTGTAGGTTAGTTATTTAATCATCACTCATCGTGCTATGTGTATCTGTGGAGTGATGAGGCCCGAGCCAAGACGCCAAACTCAACTATGCTGCTTCTAATAAACATGTTAAAGAAACACGTGAGTTGTCTGACTGAACTGCTATTTATTAAATGTTTTCCCTTATTATTTGCCCCTTTTGTTTGTTTGTTTGTTTGTTTGTTTGTTCACCATGTAAAGCGGCCTTGGGTCCCTTGAAAGGCGCTATACAAATGTCATCTATTATTATTATTATTATGTAAACATAGGCACAAAATACAATTATGAACCTAAACATTAGCACAATAGGGCCCCTATAAAATGCAGCTAGTAAACTTTGCGCAGGTGCTGGTGGCGCTGGAGCTGAAACATCTGAAAAGTAAGGGCAGCGTCCAGAAAGATGTGGTGACGATAAACTACACAACCATGTGGCTGCAGAGCAGACACATCTGCTGTGGGAGTGGTAATCAGCTGATACAACCAGCTATAATGGGGTCCGAGCGCAGGGCTTTTATGGCAGGACATACGATTGTGAAAAAGGACATATGTGCATTTGTGACAGGCCTCGCCCCAGGATTGCCAAAGCACCCCCTAAGCACCCCCAAGAAATGTGTTTTTTTTTTTTTTCGAAAATTATTATTATTATTTTTATTAAATTAAATCAGAAAAATTATTGATTACATCAATGCAAATGTGAAACAAACAAATGTTTGACCAAAAACATAAAGCCAACACAGGTGATATGATTATGCCAATGGCCAGCACCCATTAGATTTTTGACCTACCCATAGGCTAAATTACTTTGTGACACTTGAGTGACTTCCTGTTAGTTGGAGCCCCACATTATTTGCTAACAGCAAAGTGACAAATGGATCGTTTTTTAGTCCTTAAACGTCCACATGTGGACACTCAATCAAAACCAACTGAAAGCGAGAGGGATTCTGCACATAATAGGCCTCGTGAGTACAAGTAGCTTACTTCTGGGTCTCTGTGTTTCATTCAAGCTCTGCTCTGTGTGTGTGTGGCACGAGCCATTTTGTGTGCGTGCGCAAGCGAGCGAGAGAGAGAGAGAGCGCACCGGTGGGAGAGCTCGCGCACCGGTGTGTATCTACCGGAGATCGTTATGGTTAGCATCTGGTGCTAGCTAGCAAGCTAACGGATATAAGGAGCTTTTTCAACAACAAGGTGGAGGGAGAACTCTCTCCTGTCAGACTGAGAGTCTCATAACCTCAGCTCAGGTGAAGTAAAGGACTCCCAGTGTTTAGATTTAGTTTTAGTCTAGTTATCTCAGTGGGTCTCAAACGGTTTGTTTTAAAAGGGGAGTGATTTGTAAAATATCTATAAAGAAATAGAAAATCTGTTTACAGTTCTGTTTCATATGTATGTTGAGAGATACAGTATATCCATAGATCTCTTCATTTTGCTCTCAACGTGCACCAGATTGATGCTTTTAACTTCAATATTTAAAAACAAATCTTCCCCGGACCCCCACTAGAGGAGGTGAGGTCCACTCCCCACTTGTAAAAATAGCACTTTACCCCTGCTTACACCTATATGCCGTGAGCTGATTACCGAGCCTTCATTGTAACAGTCGCGGGTACACTGTGTGTGCGTGTGGGGAGTGTTGCAGTAGAAAATTCAACTGTAGCGCTGGTGCATTAATGGGAACCCCTTAAAGGAATGCTCCACTCATTAGATAATTAATCAAAACTTCAGTATTTAGTGAAACATTATGTTTAAACCATACCCTGAAGAAATCAGCGATATTCCCCGGTAAATAATGATTTTATAGCTCTTTTTTTATCAAAACCTGTATATTCCGTCAGGCCGCTGCCATTTTGCCCATTTTCAGTAGTCACGTGATGGTCGTGATGTCATCCATGCGTTCACTTTGTAAACACACGAAAACATGGCGAAGTTTTGAGCAATATGAAGAGATTGGAAGGGGGAATTCAGCCATACAGGTTCGAGCCTACTTAGTACTACTTAGTAGATACAATGATTTTGATTACTAGATATGTATGCATGTAGTACCACCCTTGCTAGCGATTCCCTCTCTAGTTTAGCATACTCAGCCTCGTTGTCCCTGGCCCTAGAACCACGATTTTATGGGGCCGGAAAACTGGGGGGAAATACCCACTAGCCGGTACTACGCTATATGGAAAGGCCACCAAAAACTCGCCTGGCCTGGACGATACAGGACGTTTAAACGGGGCTACCCGCTGCAATGGAAATGCGCCATAACATACCTTATTCTTACTCCGAGCACTACTTCTGGTCCTCCGTCGCTTCACACTTGCAGAGGGCGATTTCTCAACTGGCCGAACTGGTGTCCTGGTCGGTGATGACACCAGAAAGACCGATGGTACTGCATCTCCATTAAGTAATGGTTGTTCAATAAATCCCATGTTATGTTTTATCATACTCATAGTAGTCGTCCGGAAACTTGAAATGCTCGCTGCATACATGCGCCTGTGGATCTTTCGGTTCGGGCCGGCCACACTTCGCTAGCCACTGCCTCCGAACGTACTTCCTACGCTTACCTTTTGGCAACAGATGGAACCGAGCATTCCGTGGATTGTTCCTATCAGAATTATGGCAATGTTTCGCGATACAATGAGGCATATTTGAAGAGAGTAACTACAGTAAATAACATGAACATCAACGTGTCCTCGAAACCAAACGCATGGTTTACGTCACGTCCGGTAAAATGGCGCCGCCCACAGTGTTGATGTTATTTCGGTAATTAATCAGTTTAAAATCACTGATAATGTCATCGGATTAAAAAAAAAAAAAGAGAGACTGGCAGAGACTGGTCTGTTTTATCGGATGATAATTATTTAAAAATGAGTGTCATGAGCATACCATTCCTTTAATGTTTGAGCACCCTCTATGGAACGTCAAGCTACCCCACAGCACCCCCTAGAGAAAATCTCTGGCGCCGCCACTGGTCCTCTGCCTTTGTTAAACAGAACTCTCCTTTTCTTCCAGTTCAACCTTCCTTTTTTATGTCGTATTTCCCCCTCCCAATGAGGTTTCACAAATGACACAGCTACGATTATTGACATAATGGAGCTTCTGAATTTACAAACCCGTTCAGTTTAAATAGTTACCTAATCCAATACTGCCATAAGGGTTTATGTGTATCACTCAAATTCAATTCAGCTGCTTTAACCAACTCCCCCAATATTCGTTTTCAGTATCTGTATTACACCACCCTGTGGGCCCATCTACCGTTTTACTGCATATATAAATACAATATTAACAACATTGCATACATTACAGTAGCATCTTTAGTAATTTAACCTTATGAAAATGTCAACACAACACATTTTACAACATGACTTAGAGCATTGACCTGAATGAGCGATCACAAAATAAACTTTATGCCAGTGATGAAACTCACATACTCAACCACACTTTACTATGTTGTATTTCACTCAAACTTAAGCCATTGACAAAAATAAAAAAATAGTGACAGTTATGGTGTCATTGCTCCTTGGCTAACCAAACGTGATTTTCTACATAAAAGTCCATCAGAGAGTTGTTAATCATCCTCAGAAATAAGAGTTTAAAGGTCCCATGTCATGGCCATTTCCACTGATCATAATTCCATTGTTGAGGTCTACTAGAATAGATTTATATTGTGCAATTTTCCAAACTCACATTGGTTTCTCATACAGCATCTCTGTAAACTACGTGTATTCACTGAATTTCACTCTCTTTAACGGCTCGTTGTAGCTCCAATAGCTCCAATAGAGAGGCGAAGTCCCTCCCCTTCCGAAAGCCTCCATGGGACCCCGGAAGCGGAAAATTATACATTGAAGTCAATGGAGAGAGAAAGGTTATCTTTTGATCCCGTTTGAATTGTGCCACGAATGACACATATGATGTTTGTCAATTTAAAAGAACATTTTGCAAGTCAAAAAAATAAAAATGTGTCGTAAAACTGTGAAGTTACACATTTTTTTCGTGTGAAACCGCTCAGTGAACTACAGGTCTCTCGTCTCGCACAATACGCGTCACCAACATAAAGATGGCCGTCACGTTAGCACATTTCACCACATTCTTTCAGAATGAGAATAAAAGTATTTTACGAGGTGAACATCACTACAAGTCTGGGCACGTTGAGAGCTGTACCTATATGAAAGGGGAGTTAGTCGGTTCTGTAAGAGCCAGCATGCGGGACCGGCTTTACAAGGTTTCGGTGAGTAATATGAGTGCAATGTGTAACGTTAATGTCAGCTAGCTAACATTAGCTAACAAGGTACACTAACGTGTTTTGTTTTAGCAACTAGTTTTCTCCTTAAGAACTTCGTGGTCTCTGTGTATGCTGTGGATAACATTAGTGTTCACAAGAACAAGGTACACTCCCGTGTTTTGTTTTAGTTGCTCTTCAGATTGAAGCGGACAGTTTTATATCGACTATACTCTATGTGCGATCTCCTTTGTGTCATTTGAGTTTATTTGCTGTGTGTAGATTCAAGGATTTTGGTTATCTTGTCAATTTGTTTGGTTATCTAGGCACAGCTGTGTGTGACTCCCTCTGGTACACTGGTATGTGTGTTCCTAATGTAGAGAGCATTGATTAATTAATAAACTACACACTGAGTCTAGATCCTGATCAAATCCTTTTTTTTTGTTGATCAAATGTTTTTCAAAATGTATTCATACACATTTAAAAAAAATTAGGGCTGTCAGTCGATTAAAATATTTAATCGCGATTAATCGCATGATTGTCCATAGTTAATCTCGATTAATCGGAAATTAATCGCACATTTTGTATCTATTCTAAATGTACCTTAGAGGAATATTTGTCACGTTTTTAATACTCTTATCAACATATGAGTGGACAAATATGCTTTATGCAAATGTTTATTATCATTTGAACAATGACAAATATTCTCATGAATATTAAACACAACAACCTCATAGGTAATACAGAAAAATCAAACAATAACAACAATCAGACAAATATATGGAAAAATAAACCCTCCCACCCCCAGATCCTGACCATCCTTGTATTGCTCATTCAATCTATTATAGCATGCTAACAAATGGTACTTACTTTATTTTTATAGATCTGCATGGGAGACGATGGCGCGATGCAGAGCGCTGTCTGTGATTGTGCACGGGGGATGTACAAATGCAGCCACGCTGCAGCATTGGCAATATTTGCCATGTGGCAGATCAGCTCCACAGATGTTGAGTGCCAGTGGAGGAAGCCTGGCACTTCCAAAGTAGTCCAGCCGGTGTCTCAACTCTATCAACAGCAAGAGGAGACATACAACCCACTGGCCAGAGACATCGCCACTCAGGATGTAGACTGGTTCAGGTCTGCACTGAGGGGCACACAGTGTGGCATGGCATGGCTTTTATCACCTGAGCCAGAGCCGCAGCCTCAACATCAGGCCATTGTCACCGTGCCGGAGCTGGTGAAGGAGCATGGGGGTCGGGGGCTTGAGGCAATTCTTGCCTCAATGCAACTGACAAGAGACCAGCAAGCTGCCATCCAGACAGCCACCGTAGGACAGCGGACAAATCCCCAGTGGCAGTTACACAGACAGGGCAGGTTGACAGCCAGCAATTTTGGTGCTGTGCTGAGGTCGGGACTTTCATCCACTCCATGCGCGTCCCTCATGAAGAGGGTGCTTGGGGGTTACAATTTAGACGGAGTCATGGCTGTCAACTGGGGAGTTGTAAATGAGGCCGAAGGGGTGAAGGCTTTTGTGCAGGCCTATCGGGTGACAGTGATCGACGCTGGTCTCTTTGTGAGTGAGTCGGGTGTTTTGGGAGCATCACCCGATGGACTTGTGCAGCCATCTGCCCTGCTGGAGGTGAAGTGTCCACACAGCCAGAGGAACATGACCATCGCGGAGGCAGTCCAGTTACCATCTTTCTGTCTCCGTGAGGAGGGTGGGTCTTATGTTCTCAAGGAGAATCACCCATACTGGCACCAGGTCCAAGGGCAGCTGCACATCACAGACCGGAGTATCTGCTATTTTGTTGTGTGGACCACGAAGGAGGCGATCATCATCCCCATCCCCAAAGACCCTGCATGGCATGGAAATCTCCTCCTCCTGGAGAACTTCTACACTCAGCATATGCTCCCTGTGTTGGCCAGTAGAGAGGAGGACATATAAATAAACACACACACACACACACACACATGATATTTAACTAATAAACAATAAATCCCATGTTGTTGGAAAAGTAATAATGCTGCATGTGTACGTTTTTGTTCAAATATAGCAAGTGTTATGTGTTCCTGATATCGTGCAGCCCTAATATTAAGGCCTTATTGTCACATGCACAATAACTACAGTGCAGTTTTGGGCAATGAACATGTTAAGTCTCAGGCCCCTCTAAAATAAAGGATATTTAAGACATATAAATAAAGAATTACTTTTACTGAACTACTACATAACTGTATTACATGGTTATATAAATAGTTTGAATGATTCATGACTGACAGAAGCTTGTTTTTACACTGACCTGTTATACTCATATCTATTAATATCTTTGTAACTTCAGTAAACCTCAACAATTCCCCTTCTGGTTTCATGCATCACAGTTCAGTAAACTGAGTAAATATGAACCAGTGTAATCATTATAATAACTTAGGATTGTAACTCTTTAGAAAAGGTGTAGGTGGCTCTTAAAAGAGCCGTTGTGTGACTTTGGGCTGGTTTCAGCAGTTTAAGCCCTCTCCGCGGATGCAGCGGGCCAGCTGGATGTTCCCCCCCGGGGATCGCAGGCTGAAAGGTTTGGGAACCCCTGGCTTAGTCAACGGTGAGGGTGCTGGCTACTTCCTTTATCAGGGGATTTTGCAGGTTCACCAAGGCACAGCAAAGCTGTACCAGCACATCAGGTTCGGTGTCTGCGGACTGCACGCTGGAGAATTTGGGGTCAGTTTCTGCAGACTCTGGCCCTTTGCTGTAGCTGTGGTCGCTGGACTGATTAACCGCTAAGCTCCCTTTCTCTTTGGTCCACTCAAATACAGTTGGCCCTTTCTCTTTTCCATGAGGAAAATGGCAGCTGCATATTCGGCTTTTCTCATCTGGCTCCCTGTCTGCTCGTCTACAATGAGAAAATTATATAATTCATTACTAACAATCATTTAAACCTGCCAAATAGCCCCCCTACCCATAGTTTAAACAGTCTGCACTCTTGTATTTATATTGTGAAGCACTTGTAACATTCAGCTTGTATGTGTTTTAGTTGAACCCTAAGTAAGACAGCTCTTAAGGCCAAACAGTGTGTTTGGCCTTTTAAGTGTGACACATATGTAGGGATAAATGCTTCACCTGACCACTGTTACTAAATAAAAAAGGTTTTCTGCATCGTCCGTCATTTTTTCCAAATAATTACCAATATTTCACAAATTCTTCATGTCAATTTAAGAGCACAGCTGTATGTTGACTATGTCAACTTTGCTTGGTTCATCTTACTGGGGGGCAGCTACATGGATGTCGGTGCAGTCCACAATCATTTTGCAGTTGAAGGCAGAATTAATTTATTATTGACTCAGAATGAAGCACAACTTCATGTCATACAATACATTGACTTCATTTGTAATTGTGTAAAAAAATAAAGCATTGATTAGCAAGCAGGACCTGCAGGAACAGAGAACGGTGATGGGTGGAGCTAGGAAGAGAGAAGAATAAAGAAATCAGATCAACTTTATTATCGGATATTAAAAATTCAATTTTCAAAACAAGTTGCCGCTCCTACAGTTTTCTAGTATGTAAAGATGATTTCACTTGACCTATGCAAAATATCACACTCAATACATGTGTGTCTCTGGGGGGTGCAATGTGCCTTTGATATATATAAATAATATACCATAACCAAATACGTACAGTGGAAATCAGGTTGCCAGGTCAGTCCAGTGTGCATGTTCCTCAACGTCTCAGCAGTTACAGGTGAGGTAAATAAAATAAAAGAGAAAAAGGTCAGTAACAACACTTGAAAGTAACAACACTTTGAATAATTATCTCTTCTAATAATTTTCTCTCAGTAAGCACACAACTACTGTCTTTCCAACAAACAGATTGTCATCACAATGAAACACGTCCAGAAGAATGTCATGCAAAGCTCCCTGCCTGCCTGCGACTCTCCCTGAACTGCTTCCTTAGCACCCGGTGGAGGGCGCAGTAGGCTACGCTTCAAATGTTTCACGAAATACTTACCATCATGACTGCTCTTACTGTTTAAAATGTTGGTTTACTTCATGTAATAAAATAATAACTTCATGGTAAGGCTACTAAAAATGACAAGGCTAAGTAAAGTAATGCTAACTAACGTGCTCGCTACTCGTCGCTACTAGCTAGGTAGCTAACTTGACTATGCACATGAACATGCACAACATGTATATTTACCTATGATATTACCTGATATGTCTGATCCAGCGACTCCTGGTCCTTTCATCAGACGGGAATCGATAGAAGGAGCAAGTGGTATGATCACTTTTATGACTACAACCTGGTACAAAGCACACAGGCATCTTGTAAAAGTGAATTTATTTTTAGCGATCTATAATTTATTGGAGGGAATAAATCAGTTATGAGATCTTCTTCTTCGCTTTAATTACGAGTCTTATTATAAATCACCGAGCATGCCTGTGACATCACTTACGCGACCCAGAATGGGATTTGGGATTTGTAGTCTTTGTAGTAGCGTATTTTTCATAGTCTTATATTTCAGCAGTTTTACGACAAAATGTGACTTTTTTGACCTGGAAATGATTGTTTAAGATTGACAAACATCATATGTGTAGTTCGTGGCACAATTCAAACGGGATCAAAAGATACGTGTTCTCTTTCCATTGAATTCAATGTACATTTTTCGCTTCCGGGGTCCCATGGTCCGGAAGTAGATGGGCGTGACTTCGCCTCTCCATAGCTCCAATAGCTCGAGCCCCCACCCTCCCAGTGTGCTCTGATTGGTCGGGACGTTGTGAATCGCGCTAAGCTCTGTGGAGGTGTTGTTTCCTTGTTTAGCGATACACAGCCAAACTCACCCTGAGCACACACAAAGTCACAGCCGAAGTAAAAACAATAAGTGTGGCTTGATATTGAGTCAGAAAAAGGTTGATAAACGCTGTGAGAATGGGTCTGCAGAGAGAATTTCGCCGCGATCCCAACTGTCTGTTATCAGCCTGCAGCCAGGGAGGAGAAATCAGCAGCGCTGCTTGCACTGAGTGTGTGTGTGTGTGTGTGTGTGTGTGTGTGTGTGTGTGTGTGTGTGTGTGTGTGTGTGTGTGTGTGTGTGTGTGTGTGTGTGTGTGTGTGTGTGTGTGTGTGTGTGGTGTGTGTGTGTGTGTGTGTGTGTGTGTGTGTGTGTGTGTGTGTGTGTGTGTGTGTGTGTGTGTGTGTGTGTGTGTGTGGAAGTCCGTGGATTGGTCAATTTGTACCAATCAGCGGGGGCTTAACGTAACGGCTCCACGGATTGGTCCATTTCGTTCCGGGTACGGTTGACATCATGCGTACCCGGAAGAATCAAATGGACAGTGACGTATCTCCAACGAGGCGTTTGTGTTAAGAGTTTTACTCGCTACAGGGTGTACTTTGAGGGTTTTGACTCTGCACACCGTTTACATGCATAAAAACCTTCATAACACACAAGGGGACGGGTACTAACCAGAAAAGCATGACATGGGACCTTTAACAAAAATTAGAGGAAATGGAGGCTGAAAGCTCTTGAAAGAGAGGCTAACTGTGGGGATTCAGCGGACACATGAGACTCTCCATCTCATCATCAGAGCCGAGGATATCCCCTAGTTGTCGATCACAACACAATCACGGAGGAAAAGAGAAGAGGAAATAGAGAAAACACTGATATAGAGCAAAATGGGCTGAACCTGATTCAACTGAACATACAGTAGATGCACATTTCCAGCAGAGATAATGGGATAAGTGAAGCCTAAAGAGACCCATTAGAGGGATTTCTAAGTGTGAAATAGAACAGTTAAGTGCCTTATTATCCAAATACATGTGAAGTATTGAACATATTTATAATTTAGTGGAGCCATTAAATCCAAGGTAAAACCCACTCTACATGCAGCAAAGCCGCGGTACATGAAGCCATTATAGTTCTCTGAACACACAGAGCGTATTTAACATTGTCATCCATAACACGTTGTAGTAGCAGGAAAAATAAAACGTTATAGCTTAGCTTAGCATACAGACTTAGCTTAGCAAGTCCGTCAAATGTTTGCAAAATCAGCGGATCTAAATCTTACTATTACGTTATATTACATGTTTTTAAGCCATACAAAACATGAAGTGTAAAAAAAAACATTTCTTAGTTTTATTGGTTTACTTTTACTTGGTGGGTGAGTCGATTTTGTGGACATTGTATAAAGTCATGCTAGTTGTTTCCACTGTTTGTGCAAACTGGCTTCAGCTTCGAATTTTGCGTAACATATTAGAATGATCACTCTTTCCACTACACCTCTATGGTACCCATGTACATGTCAAAATTCTTCCCAAAGGTCAAGGAATACCATGATCATAACACCAGAGGGAGCTCCACAAATCATGTGAAACCCATATTTGGCACAAAAAAGGGGGAATACACGTTTCGCAATTATGCCACATCAAGGTGGAACGCTCTTCCCACAACTGTAAAGGAAAGTAAAACTATACTTACCTTCAAAACCTCTCTTAAAGAGCACCTTCGGGGGAGAGCATTGCAAAACTGGCCCCGGTAATGGTACAAATCTCAATCTGTCGTTCAATGGACAGCTTCCCCCCCCCATCTATGTATATACTCGCATTTTAGACTCTGTTACTAACTGTATATCTGTAGACTTGTATTAAATGTCCGGTTAGGATGTTTTAGAATGAAATCTAAAA